CACACGGGATCCGAACCGGCGAACCCCAGGCCACCAAAGCAGAATGTGGGCACTTAGCGCTGTACCACCAGGCTGGCCCCATTACAGTTCACTCTTAATGATCATCTTTAAAGCCAAAACAAGGCATAAAATCTTCCAAAACACGTTATTCCAGACTAGGAAAGCCAAACAGGCAGACATGGTCTTAGATTATATCTACGTATCAGGGAGTAAATTGGGGACTGGGACCACAATTTTCGCCATTTTGGTGCACCTGGGTTTGTCTTAATGTGATATGAGGAGTGGCCCCGTAACCTCGGTTTGAAATCCTAGAATTGTCTTCGAGTCCCCAGCCCCACCTCCATCCTATTTGTTGCCAAATCCAGCTGATTTGATTTATTCTCAGTCCTTTCTTCCGAGTCCCACTGCCACCATACCCTCCCTGCCCAGGGCCTCATTGAGTAAACCACTGCAAGGACCTCTGACCTCCCCCACAAAACCACCTCCCCCCACCATCTACCCTACAATCTATTAACAGAGTTATCTGCATAAAGCGCAAATTTAATCAAGTTACTCCCTTACTCTAAAATGTTTAATAGCTATAGAATAAAGTTTAAACTTTTGGGGTGTTATTTAAGGCCACATGTTCATTCTTTCACGAACAAGCGTTTACACCGTGTTACACCTACACGGTCCAGGACCTGTTTAAATTACGGGAGAAATGGAGACAAATGAGACAATTCCTACCCACGAGAAAATTCATAGTCTGGCAGAAAAATCAGCCTTTGGGTTTGTGACGTGATGTCACGATGGATGTGGTAGAGGGAGGCGGAGGGTGGTAGCCTGCTCTCTGGGCTGGGAGCGTGGACTCCGCAGCTGGCCTGCCTGGGTTTGAACGTGAGTGACCAGGTGACTTTGGGTGAGTTACCCAACCTCTTTTTTCTGTAAGAGGGGTTAATGACGATAATAGTTTCTACCTGAAAGGCTTGATGTGCCGTTGGTAACCTGGCACACTGTGAGCGCCGTACCAGTGTTCGTTGCATTGGTCGTCAATCACCTCTCATTTCTGAACGCATCCTGCCTTGTCCCTTTTCTGCACCACTGCTTACGCTGTTTCTTTAGTTTGCGACGTTCCTGCTTGCTGAAATGTCACACAGCCTTCAGGCATTATGCAAATGCTACCGTCTCCACCTTGTTGTCCCTCCCCCGTCCTCTGGTTGGAATGAATCCTCAGTTTGCTCCCATAGCAGTTGTCGCATTTGACTCCACTGCGGTTACCACTACTGATAACATCCGCGCATGCCTGCGCTTGGTGCCTGCCTCTCTCCTCCAGTAGGCTTTCAGTTCTCAAGAGTCAACACATACGACGTAGTAGAGAAGCATGGATTTGGACCCAAATCCTCTGAATTTAAACATCCGTTTTGCTACTTCCTGGCTGGGTGGAATTCGGCTTTAACTTTTTTTTGGAGGAAGATTAGCCCTGAGCTAACATCTGCCGCCAATCCTCTTTTTGCTGAGGAAGACTGGCCCTGAGCTAACATCCGTGCCCATCTTCCTCTACTTCATATGTGGGACGCCTACCACAGCATGGCGTGCCAAGGGGTGCGTGGGTCAACACCCGGGATCCGAACCGGCGAACCCTGGGCTGCCGACGTGGAACATGCGAACTTAGCCGCTGCACCACCAGGCCGGCCCCTTGGCTTTGACTTATTGAGCTTGTAGGCTTCATTTTGGTAAAAGAATAAAAATACTAATCTTGGACAACAATTGTGAAGATCAGAAATAATGCAGGGAAAGCTCCCAGAGCATAGTTCTTACTCAGAGGATAGGAGTCTGTGACCGTTGAAAGCTTCAAAGAGAAGATGGCGTGTGGGAGACAGACCGGGCTTGGAGGGGCGTCTAGGGGAAAGGTGTGTGGTGAGAACAGACAAACAGGGAGGCCGACCCGAAAACCTGACCTCTGTGCTGAGCCATGGAAGAAGATGCCCCACAGAAATGAAGGGCTTATCTGGGGAGCAGAGGGCACGTAAGAAGGTGGGGCCGCGGGGGCTACGAAAGGCTTTGAGGCAGGGAGGCGGCCTCAGGAAAGCGTATTTTAAGACAATTGGTCGGTCAGCAGTGAACAGGATAGATTGGAAGGAGTGAGTCACCACTGTGGCCTAACCAGCGGCGGCAACCAAGGGCGAGAGACGGACAGACCTCACAGCAGATTATCCTGACTCCAGGGAGGGACCGAGGCTGACGAATGCCGTGGGAGGCAACTTTGGCCACTGAAACATAACGTGAAGAGGATCTGGCCTGACAGCGACAGTGGACTGGGAGGAAGGGAAAAGTCAAGAGCTATTCTGAAGGAGAGGGGTGAGAGAGGAAGAGGCCAAAGCGATGGGATTTTTGTGATTTGGAGACGGGTGGTGGCCCACCTTCGCCACAGTGCTGCCCGGGCAGCCGGCGAGAGTCAAATCAGAAACGAAACGGACCCGGCTCGTGCTTTCCCGTGGTTTGTGAAGGTCATCGTTCAGGCGGTGTTTGCACTTTTATGACACGTCAATATCATTTGGGAGTTGGAGAAGATTTCTGAGTAAGAACTATGCTCTGGGAGCTTTCCCTGCATTGTTTCTGATCTTCACAATTGTTGTCCAAGATTAGTATTTTTATTCTTTTACCAAATGATATTGATGTGCCATAAAAGTGCAAATGCCACCAGAACGATAACCTTCATAAACCACGGGAAAGCACTTTCCTAGAGTCGGTGACCCATTCCTTGGCTCCAGCAGGTAACTGGGCAGTTCTGGAGCTCTGATCCTTCCACGGCACTTCAGGAAGTACTGAGCTGCCCTCCACAGCCTGCTGGACCGTGAAGACCCTGGGATGGGGCAGGGCGGTTCCGGTCTTCTTCCCAGATACATTACATCACGCCTTCAGAAATCTTTAGACCAGAAACAGGCATCAGTCTACCTACATCTCACCTTAACTCCGGGACACATGGCATGGACTGGGGAAGGAGACCAGGCTCCCCAGTCACAATGAGCTATCCTCCCCCCGCATCCCACTCCCCCCTGAAGTGTCTCGCCAGGAGTACAGTAATCTCTGAGCTTCTCCCTCTCCCTTCTCCTCTTATCCAGGCTAGATTGAGTTGGATTTTTGTCTCTTGCTATCAAAAGAGTTCCAACATGTACAAACCCATATTCACACCATACACAAAAATAACTTTCAGATAGATTAACTATTTAGCTTAAAGAACAAAAGTACAAAAATATTAGTAGAAAATGTAGAAGGCAATTTATATAATTTTGGAGTGAGACAGACTTTCTAAAGATTGCACAAAGACCAGCGGCCATAAAGGAAAAGATAGACAAATTTTATCCACATAAAAATTACTTACGTATGACGTAAGATACCATAAACAAGGCAATAAAAAGAAATAAATATCAGGCTGCAGAAAACACTTGAAGTATTGTAACATATGTAATAGAAAAGGGTTAATATCCCTAATACACAAAAGCTCCTACTAATAATAAAAAGGTAAATAATTTAATTTTATAAAAGAGCAAGAGATGTGAACAGGTCATCATAGAAAAATGCAAATGTTAGTAAACTAAAGAGGATCCTCAGATTCACCGGCGGCCTAAGAAATGCAAATTAAAAAGAGAAACACGCTTCTACCTGTCAGATGATCAAACTCTAAAAATGATATCTGGTGTGGCCACAGAGGGGCAGAAAGTGAACTCTCACACCTGCTGGTGTCGCTTTTTCAGAGGACAATTTAATGGTATCCATTGACATTTAATATGAATATATCCATTGTCTTGGCAATTCCACTTCTAGAAATCTAGCTACAGAAATATTTACACAAGTGCACAAGATGTGTGAACAATGAGTGGCAAGCCAAGTGTCAATTGAGAGGGACAGGTTGAATAAACTATATCCGTTCTATAGAACGCTATACAGCCAAGAAAAAGAAGGGAGTGGATCTGCATGTGCCCAGGCTGGAGGATATCCATGATACAGTGTTGATTTAAAAAGTCAACCTGTGGAACAATGTGTAGAGTGTAATTACCTATTTATCTATCTATCCATCCATCCATCCATCCATCCATCCATTTACCTATCTGTTTATCCATCTGTTGTAAGGGCTTGTATGACAGAAGAGCACAGACTATGGAACCCAAGCACCTGGGTTTGAATCCTGGCCCTGACTTGCGGGGTGAACCTGGGTGATTCATGTAAGCTCTCCACGTCTCAAAACACTCATCTGCATAAGCATTAGTAGGTTAATATACATGCAGCATTTAGAATAGTCCCTGGCATATAGCGAACGCTGTAGAAGTGTTAGCCGCAATAGCATAATAATTATATGTACCCTAAAGTATGGAGCGGTCATCCCTGAAGAGTGGGGAGAGATGGGAGTACACTGGAGAGCCCCTCACCCCTTGCTTCATTTTTCTGTATTTTTAATTTTGTGAGAGCATGTATTACTTTCACATTTTAAGAATAGTGAAACGAATCATTCAAAGTACATTGAGTCTGGAAAGAAAGGGGCCTCTCACTGCTGGATGTGTTTATTTTATAAGAAAAATGGCAGAGAAGGTCCTTTTGAAGGATTTACTTGGGGCCCGGAATTTAAGCCGCCTCCCTAGGTGAGAGGCCTCCCGTCTTACTTGCAAACTTCTCAGGGAGAGGGTAACTTTGAAATGAATGGAACCCACGTGGTAAGACTTTTGCTGTAGGACATAGAGAACGGCATGTAAGAACTAACCCCAAAGCTGCTCTTATTACTCACAGTTGCAGAGGGGGAAATAGCCTTGTTCTCTATCTATGCCTCCTGGAGACCCAGTCCAATAGTTCTCAAACTCCTGCCTCCATTTCCTCTCTAGACAGGCTCTACGGCCCCCGGGGCTTCCTCGCTCCCAGCACCACCACGTGGACACAGTAGTGTCTCCGAGTTTCCATCCTCCCTGGGATAGAGATTTTCAATTTCCTCTGATAAACCATGGAGAATTTGGAAAGGATCGCAGTCTTACCTGACAGGCTTTGTACTGGGCTCCTTAATAAAGGAGGGCAGGGTGAAGAGAAAGAAGAGCAACACAGCCAGAAGCAAGAGCCACTGGACAGCCTGGCCCAGACGGCTGAGCCTCCGCAGGCAGGGCCCCATGGTGGCGGTTCCGGCCCTGCAGCAAATTTCTGCATATCCTGGGGCCTTGATGCAGAGAGGAAATAGTTTCACTGCGCGGGTCTCCTGGCCAGGGAGTGCACACCCTTTGTCTTAGAAACGGGCCACTGGTGAATGCTGAGTCTCTCAGTGTCTGCCAAAGAAAGGAGGAGCCACTTGCACTGCTTTATGAAGGCTCACAGGCTGGCGTGGCTGAAAGGAAGAGAAACTCCTTCTGTCCAAACAAGTTCACCTTCCTTTGTCTCTGAAGCCAATTTCTGAACGCAGAACTTTATGAGAAACATACACACGTTATACAGAACCTCACTTTCATCAGGTTCCAACCCTTAGGGACCCTGCGCAAGTGCATGGACTGGAAGACCCTCGCATGGCCTCCGAGCTCAACACGAGTTTTATTGAGGAAAATACAGGGAATCCATTTAGGTTTGGGGTCCCCTAGCAATCTTTCCCGAAACATCCATTGTGCAACCACAGACTGCAGCTACGAGAACCTCTCATTTCCTTGGTTTTTAGAGCGTCTTCTCTCAATCTTGGGTGCACATTAGAATCACCTGGGAAGCTTCAAAAGTCCCGATACCCACATTGTATCCCAACCAATTAAACTAGAATCTCAGGGGACAGGTATTTTTCCAGGCGTGGGTTATTTTTTAAATTCCTGATGCGTGGCCAAGTTGAGAACCACTGATTTATAGGCACTAAGGGTTGCCACAGCAGTATTTTTAAATGAACAAAATTCTGTTATACAGTGTTTGTCAGAACCTGGCGCAAAGAATGTATACTTTGTGAACTTTCCACAGACTTCTGTGAGCTGCTACCTTCCTACCGTGACCTTGGACAAGTTGCTTAACCTTCCTGCCTCACCTGCAAAATGAGAAAAGCAGAGGCATCTAGCCTGTGGGCTTGTTAGGAAGACACCACTAAAGAGACCGTCGGTCACGGCAGGCCCCTGACATGTGTTCACCCTTCTCATCGGAAGTCACGACCATGACGACAACGACCCGTACCTGTGCTCTGAGCCAGCACCGTGAACTGCTTCACGCACAGCCCCTCGAGGAGCTGGCCCTATTATCAACTCCATTTTACAGTCGAGGAAATCGCCTCTGTGAGTGAGCAGCCTGCCCATGATCACGGAGGGAGCCCCTGGCGTGGGGACCTGATCCGACTGACCGAGACTCTGTGTTCTTCCCCACTGCGCAGCAGCACCTCTGAGAAATCATTAACTCTGCCTTGATATGAAAAACAAAACAAAACACAATGTTTGGGGAAAATGTACAACTTGGAGAAAAGATATCAAGATCAGTTGCAGAAAATAGAAAAGTCAGAGAAGCAGCCCTTCATAAAGTATTATGGGTTGTCAGTATTAAGAATATTGCCTACAGTAGGTTGAACCCCCCAGGGGTTTTCCAGCAGCTGGAGGGGAAAGGGGCAGCTTGCAGGAGGGGGGCTTTGGAGGGTTCGGACCTGGCCTTGTTGCTCACACATGAAGTGTGCAGTCCTCCGAATGCACAGCTTCCATTTCTGTACCCAAAGTCCTTGGTCTTCGCCCAGGGCTTGCACCAATAAATGCTCAGAACACCTTCCCCAGGGATGATGAAAAAGGTAAGAACGTGTTTCTGAGAGGCTGGGAGTCATACAGACAACTTGTGGGCTCCCTTCCCCCGACCCCGCACGCTGTAACTTGTGGCGTTACTTCAGGGGATGGGCTGAGAGCAGAGGAACATCTTAGTACTGATTCAGTCTCACTCGCATGCTCTCTCTCTCAGCACACCTAACCTGTAAGTGCTCACACGCTGACTCTAGAAACATTTTCTGAACAGACCTGTGTCAGGCCATCACTCTTTGCCCGAGTTCGCCTGCACACTTGGCACAAGCAATTACCCTACGCCCTGGTGCCTGTCTGCAATGCTAGGCGGATGAAGTGCACAGTGGGAAGGCATTTTCTTACCCACAGCGTTGGTTTCATCTCACCCCGTGTTTTGAAGAAGGCACTGGCTGCCAGTGTTCTCTCTGACTTCCACAGAGCGTGGAGATCTAGTTGAGCTCCTGGGTGCAAACTGAGCTCCTGTACGCAATCTGTGCCTCTCACCACCTCGGGCGTGAGCTGAACTTGGAGTTCTTGAAGCCAACTGGTGGCGGCGGGATAATCCAGGGTTCTAGTTTCTTAGTTCTCAGGTTCCAGCCCAATGCTGCTGTCGTGTGTGCCTGGCAGAATGTTTTAGTGGAAACTGACTTTCCAATAGTTTTTCAAACATATCACAATTTTCACGTTTGGTAGGTCTGTTTACCTCTCCTTTTTAAGTTGAAGCTTTTGACGTTAGTCTTCCTTATATCCCAGCCAGCAGCACGTGCGAGACCCTACATGCAGAGAAGAGTTGTAAAAAGACAATTTTCAGTAAAAGGGAAAGTCATGACTGTCATATAGATAGGAAACATGAAAATGTGTTGGAGATTTTAGTCTACTCATGAGAGAACTAGGCAGATGTAATAACCGGTTCAAAAGAAAAGCACAGAAGCCCAAATTAATACAGAGTAAGGATTGTTAAAATGAATTGCAAATGAGAGCAAAACTGGTTTTTCCACAGGGAGAAGGGAAATCACAGACAGGGCAGAATTTGCATGTCTATCAACAACATATAATTTACGGAGGGGTAAAATAGTGCAAAGACAAGGAAGGCTAAAATCTGCAGAGCTGGAGGCGCGGCCTCTAGCCGACGCACACTTTTCCATCGAAGCACCATGGTTTTCTAGAGTGTGCGCACCTTGGAACTGCTCCGGGACTGGAATTCTTGACAAGTGTCATTCATTGGATCCTTCTGCTGGAAAATCCACTTGATGACTTAGCTGGATTAAGTGGAAAGAGGCTCAACTTTCTAGAAGTCACCTTGTTGGAGATGGTGGGAAATGCATTCAATGCCCCCACTATGTGCCTTGTTTTCTCTAATTCTGTTTTCTGTACCAGACCCACTTCTAACTGTTTTTCTAACAGTCTAATTGAGATAGAATTTGTCTACTATATAGCTCACCCACTTAAGTGTACAATTCAGTGGATTTCAGTGTATTTACAGAGTAGTATAACCATCATCATAATCTAATTTTAAAACATTCTCATCATGCTCATTAATAGTCACCCCCTCGGGGCTGGCCCCGTGGCCGAGTGGTTAAGTTCGCGCGCTCCGCTGCAGGAGGCCCAGTGTTTCGTTGGTTCAAATCCTGGGCGCGGACATGACACTGCTCATCAGACCACGCTGAGGCAGCGTCCCACATGCCACAACTAGAAGAACCCACAACGAAGAATACACAACTATGTACCGGGGGGCGTTGGGGAGAAAAAGGAAAAAATAAAATCTTTAAAAAAAAATAGTCACCCCCTCGCCCAACTCTCTCCTTCCCCTCCCAGCTGGCAGCAATCATCAATCTACGTTCTGTTTCTACAGATTTGCATATTCTGGACACTTTATGTAAATGAGATCATATCATACAAGGTCTTTTGTGACTGGCTTCTACCTCTCACGATAATATTTCCAATATTTCCTGTTGTAGCATGGATCAGTGCTTCATTCCTTTTTATTGCTGAATATTAACACTCCATTGTATGGAGATACTGCACTTTGCTTTTCCATTCATAATTTCATATTATGGGTTGTTTCCACTTTTAGGCTATTATGAATAACGCTGCTGCGAACATTTGAATCCAAGTTTTGTGTGGACATATGTTTTCATTTCTCTTGAGTAAATACCTAGAAGTTTAATTACCGGGTTGTACGTCACTCTATGTTTAAATTTTGGAGGAATTGCCAAAGTGTTTTCCAGAGTGGCTGCCCATTCCACACTCCCACCAGCAATACCTGAGGGTTTCAATTTCCACATTCTCGCCAAAATTTGTTGTCTATCTTTTCTATTATACCCATTCTATGTGTGTGTGAACTGGTATGGTTGTGGTTTTGATTTTTGTTTCCTTGATGGCTAAGGACCTTGAGCATCTCTTCATATGCTTATTAGCCATTCAAAGATCATCTTTGAAGAAATGTCTAGTCAAATCCTCTGACCATATTTTAATTGATTTATTTGTCTTATTATTATTGAGCTGTTTGTTGTTAGTGTTGATGCAAATAATCCATAACCAATCTATAAATTAAAATGGGGGAGAGTTTATTATGAGCCAACTCTGAGGACCATGTCCATACGGCCTGGGAGAGTCCTTTCACAAATGGAGGAAGCATTCCAAAGAAGGGGGGTGTACAGGTGGCTATACACCATCCAAGAGCATGCATCACGTGTGAGAGGAAGGTCCCTTATTATGCTAGTCAGGAGACTGCTTTTCTGGCACAGCGGTACGATGAGCACAGCAGGCTGGTGGTCACAAGATGAGTGGTCACCGATGAGCACAGCAAGTCAGCAGTTAATCCTTACTCTAGGGAGAAATGCTTATCCTTAAAGAAATGCCAGTGTGGGGGAAGTTACATCCTTATCTTTAAGGGCATTGTTCTCGTCTTCGGGACATAGTAAATACTTAAAGCAGATATACAATGCATGCTCAACAGGCCACATCGGGACCTTTTGGAAAAACAAGGTCGGGCCAGATTAGTTTTAACCCACCTGGCTTTCTCTTATACTTCCGTGTATCCTGTTGCTTGTCATTTATTTATCATTAGTGCTGTGGAGTCGATTCTGACTCGTACCACTCCTGTGGACAGCAGAGGAGAACCCTGCCTGGTCTTTTTGTGCCATCTTCTCACCTTCTGGCGCTATATCAGACAATGCTCTGCTGCTATTCATAGGGTTTTCATAGCCAATTTTTTTGGAAGTGGGTGGTGACAAGAGATTTTCACGTGTTGACATATATGGGGTAACTAATGAGTTCAAAACTGATTCGGCTTGAACTAGAAAGGCTGATTTATGGCCTGCCAAACATACACTGTAGATCTGCTTGTCCATTAAAGTAAGGAAAGCACTCAGGATAAAGAATGCATGCTTCCCCTCCTATGCCCTCTTGGTAACACCCTATTGGTGACACCTGGATTAGTCCCTTTCCTGGCATCACGGTCATGTTGACCTGCTAATTTGCAACTGACTACCTCTTTGAAAATGTGTCCTGGGTGTGTTTAATGTATCTTCTTTGTTCTGAAAAGATATAAGACAGTAGTGAAAC